ATGTCTTTCTCTGAGGTTATAACACATCTTTCTTGGCTTCCTCTGTTCTTTTGTGTTTTTGTTTTGTTTGACATTTAAATTTTTGATCATCTGGAAGCATTCTGGTATAAGCTATAAAGAAATAGAGCTTTAATTTTCTTCTTTTTGTCAGATGACCATCTGGTATTCTAATACCATTTATTAAATGGTCTTTTCCTCCCTTATCCAAGAAAGGCGATGTACACAGTACATCTTTACTATGTACTAAATTTGCATAAATTTGGGCATATTTCTTGATTTTATATTCTTTTCCATTGATGTCTTTTTTAGTTATTTGCCTCTTGCAGTGGGCTCTTAATGACAAGGGTCAGTACTTCGCTAGTTCCTTCTCATTACATTGTGTTTTCAGAATTTTACCAGTTATTTTTGGGTATTTACTTTCTATTTCAAGTTTAAAATCAGGTCGGTCATGGGGCATCTGGGTGGCTCAGTCGGTTGAACATCTGACTTAAGCTCAGGTCATGATCTCACGGTTCGAGTCCCATGTCTGACTCTGTGTTGACAGCTCAGAGCCTGGAGGCTGCTTTGGATTCTGTGTCTCCCTCTGTCTCTTCCCCCTCCCCGCACATTGACTCTCTCTCTCTCAAAAAGAAATAAATAAAAATTAAAAAAAATTCAGGTTGGTCACATTCTTTGTGGCCTGCCCACCCCCACCTCCACCATAATGCTACTGGTATTTTTGTTTGGATCATAATACATGTACAGATGATGTTTGGGAGAACTGATGTATTTACGACGCTGTGTATCCCTACCGAAGAACACAATGTGCTTTTCACTCTTGTCTTTTGCATCCCTCACATTGTTTTAAACTTTTCTTCACACAGGAACACACATTGATTATTAAGTCTGTTCCTGGATGCTTTATCTTTGTGTTGCTCTTGCTGTTGTAAACAGACCATTTGGTTCCATTTCCTATCTAGCTGCCGTTCACACGCAAAACGCTTCTGCTCTATGCAACTCCCCATCTTCATCCTCATATTTTTTTTTAAAATGTTTTTATTTATTTCTAGGAGAGAGAGAGAGACAGCGTGAGCAGGGGAGGGTCAGAGAGAGAGGGAGTCACAGACTGAAACAGGCTCCAGGCTCTGAGCTGGCAGTCAGCACAGAGCCTGATGTGGGGCTCGAACCCATGAACTGCGAGATCATGACCTAAGCGAAAGTCGGACGCTTAACCGACTAAGCCATTCAGGCGCCCCTTCATTCTCATACTGCGTAAAGGAGCTGTTCAGTTTATTCTCTTTGCTCTTCTAAGTGTAGAGCACACCTGCAAAAAGGGATCACTTTGTCTCTTCCATTCCAATTTCTCTATCTCTACCTTCTTTCTTGTGTCTCACATGTTTGATAGATCCTAGGGGACAGTGGTGACAATGCCATCCTTGTATTTTTCATGACATTGGTGCAATTGTTTCTTGTCAATTTCATTAAGCATGATATTAGATCTTGGATGATCTAATATTGAAATACTTTGTCATGTTAAAGAAGTATCCCTATATTCTGATTTTTTGTTTTATTTTATAATATCACAAATGGCTGTTGAATTTGTTTTTTATGTTTATCTATTTATTTAAACATTTATTTTTTTTTTTTTGAGAGACAGAGAGAGACAGAGCGTGAGCAGGGTAGGGGCAGAGAGAGAAGGAGACACAGAATCTGAGGCAGGCTCCAGGCTCTGAGCTGTCAGCACAGAGCCCGACATACGGCTCGAACCCATAAATCGTGAGATCATGACCTGAGCCGAAGTCGGACGCTTAACAGACCGAGCCACCCAGGCGTCCTGAAATGGCTGTGGAATTTATAAAGTGCCGCATCAGCATCCACAGAAGGTGCACTTGTGGTTTTCCCTTTTGGATCTCTTTTATAGGATGCAGTGTTACTCACAGGTAGCCTAGACCCCGAACATTGTTGCATTCGGGAGGAAAGGCCACTTGGTTGCGGTGTTTTCCTTACTTAGCGTGCTGCTGGTTTTGGCGTGCTAATATGTCAGTTTGAATTTTTGCATTGAAACTGGTAACAAAGACTGATCTGTGCTTCTATTTGTATTCAGTCTTTCTGGGGAGTTGGTGTCATTGAGATTCAGCTCACTTCATAGCAAGTGTTTGTGCTGTTTGTTTTTTGCAGATATAAAGCTTTTTATGTACATGCCACCATGTGTGTGCTCGGTGTGTCTCTCCATCGTCCTTCTTCGTTAGTGACAACTGTTATGACTTTCTGAAAGATTTCCATGTGTGCTGCCACAGCTACTCGGCGGGCGTCACCTCATCTACCCATCATGTCAGCCCAGGGAGGGAGGCATTGTTGGGATCTCCATGTGCAGAGGAGGGAACTGAGGCGCAAGGGGAGGGCCTACCTGAGGCTGCGGACCTAGCGAGTGGTGGGACTGTGGTACATTGTCACTACATTCTCCCCAGTCTTCACTCACCTGTCTTTAAAAGTCATGCTGTCTCAGGGTGCCCGGGGGGCTCAGTCAGTTAAGCATCTGACTCTTGGTTTTGGCTCAAGTCAGGATCTCACGGTTCATGAGATGGAATCCCGGGTCGGGCTCTGTGCTAACAGCATGGAGCCTGCTTGGGATTCTCTCTCTCCAGCTCTCTCTGACCCTCCCCAGCTCATGCTCGCGTGCTCTCTCAAAAATAAATAAGCATTAAAAAAAAAAAGACATGCTGTTTTGCAGCCTCCTTTGTTTTATTTTAAAATATTACCTAGAGACCTTCAGTTTCTTTTGTGTTTAGTAGACATCAGCTCTACTTTTGAGTGTTACTTGTACATGATTTGGACACGGCACCAACATCCTTCATCCTGTGATCACTCTCTTTCTAAACTAACACGGAATGCATTTGGTGCCTGCCCATGGGCTTTCAGGACACAGCGTGTGCCTGAAAGTTTAGCTACAGAGACGAGATCTAATCATGTAAGAAAGACAAACAGCACCAAGTCGAAATGACGGTCACTCAAGGGTGGGTTTGATGGACCGTGGGTGTTATGTGGTCGCTGAGTTCTGAGGAGGACAGGGGTCTGACGGAGGGTGGAGTGAAGGTTGGGGAGGTGATGTCAGCTTCTGATAGGGGATTGGGGGATGAGCCCTTCCCTTTGACCCTGAGGGCTCACTCAGGGGAGCACAGGGGGATGGGAGGCTGGCCACGGGGTCAGTAGTGCGGAGGGAGAGAACCCTGACCTGCCGCATGGCTTTTAACTGCTGTGTAGTGCTTCATGCTCCTTAACTGGTTCTCGCCTACGGAGCATCAGTCTGTTTTCTTCGTCAAGGCTATAAATGGGGCAGACAAGTACAGCTGTTTCAATCATGTATAGCAGGGGGCAGCAAAGCATACTGCATGGGCCAGATCTGGCCTGCTGCCCAGTTTGTAAATAAAGTTTTATTGGAACACAGCCATGCCCATTCATTACCTACTGTCCGTGTCCACCTTCATGCAAAGAAGCAGGGCTGAGTAGCTGTGGCAGACAGTGTGTGTTCCACAGCCTCAAGTGTTGACCATTTGGTCCTTTATGGAAAGAGTTTGTTGTCTCCAATATATGGCAACTTGTCTTATACTGTGCTTAGTATACATTCTTTAAATAGCACTTACAGGCCAAAGAGTCTACACATTGAACATTTCATATTTACTTGGTCCATGTCCCTCAAAAATGTCCTGCTAATTTATGTATTTATGTGTCCAGCCTCAATGTATGAGAGTGGCTTTTCTTTTCATGCTCACCAACTCCAGTGATTAACATGACTTAAAATTTTTACCAACCCTATAGGTGAAAAGAGATATAGTAACAGTATTTTACATGTAAGTTTCTTTGCTAGTGATATTTAAAATCTTTTACATTTAAGGCAATGTTTCTCCCCCTTCTTTTCTACTGGGGTGTTTAGATTTTTCTTATTATTTTCTAAGAACCCTTTATATATGAAAGAGAGCTATTGTCACGTATGTTGCAAATATTTTTTTCCAGTTTTATCATATGATTGTAATTTCAGTGATGATATATATGTTTTGCCATTCAAGCATTATGTAGTCAATTATATCAGCTTGAGTATCTCAGTATGAGTTTCACTTTTAATGGCAATGCTTGTAGTACTCCACTGTTGGGTATGATGCAAATCTTCTCTTGGTTTTTAAGATAAATACTCTGAGGTTACAAGTGTTTTTCCTATTTCTAGATTATTGAGACATCTCTAAAAATAGCTTTAGGGGTGCCTGGGTGGCTCAGTTGGTTAAGGTCTGACTCTTGGTTTTGACTTGGTTTTGACTCTTGGTCATGATCTTGCGGTTCCTGAGTTTGAGCCCCGTGCATCGGGCTCTGCATTAACAGCATGGAGCCTGCTTGGGATTCTCTCTCCCTCTCTCTCTGCTCCTCCCCTGCTCGTGTGCAAAATAAACTTTAAAAGTAAATAGATAAAAATGGCCTTAGAAGTCAATTGCATCAGATGTCCCTAGAGCATCTACAGAGATGTTTCTCTGGACGAATGTCATCAGTACGGCAAAGAGCTGAGCCTGGATGGGTGAGCAGGAGTGGGGTCGGGCAGAGGGGCAGAAGGCCAGCCTGGGATGAGGGGTGTGTGCAACACGCACACAGGCACTGCAGATGCCGGGATGCGAGGCATGGGGGCTTGGGCGGGTGGATCACTGGGGTCCACGGCAGGAAGACCGGGGCAGGAGAGGACCCCGAGAGGCAGGAGGGGCCAACATCAAGGGCCCTTGAAATCGAACTGCTCAGGCTTTACCAAGAAAGTGAGCCCCACGTGTTGTCACGTCTCTTTCAAAGGTAAGACGGGAGAAAGGACAAATTCGCTTTGAGATCAATTTAAAAGCACCTCATTGGTGAGACACCGGAAGTATTTCCCTGTGAATGTGTGCAGGGAAATAGCCCAAACCCAATGACACCACGAACCCATCCAGTTTATAGTTTAAAGGGCTAGGGGTACAATATCTTTCTGTTTCATTTCTCAAGCTTGTTCGTACCTGTTGTGGGGTCTTGTTGGAAAAAATAATAGCTGACCCTCCTTCTTCTACCTTAGGGTAGTCAGGAAACGTGCCTGTTAAGTTCCTGAGGAAGCAAAAGAGGGAGATTAGGAAGAAATGAACTCTGTCCTCTCTGTAATATTTCCCACCAGCTGGCTCTGCTTACGTTCATTTAAATGAGTGACAGATGTCAGGCCCCTGGCGGCCGGACACCCTGCCTCTGAGGAGAGGGGGCAGCTGGGAGATGTTGCTAGAGGTTTGCTTCCTCTACGTAATTGTTACTCTGAGACAGACACCCCTCTCTTTAAAACAGATTGTATTCCCTCCTCCCCCTTTTTAAAAATTATTGAGACACTGTGTGCTTAAGTTAGGAATGAAGACAGAAGCACAAATCATTTCTTCCTGTTTAAAATTTAGAATAAACACAGGATTTTGAAACTAAACAGAAGGACGGAGCTGTTCAGATGACAAATTTACTAGCAGTGAGTGCACGAAATACACGGATGTGTTTTAAAGTTTCTGTAAGGCTCAGGCTCCATTTTGTACGGGTCCCAAATAGTTTTTGTGTCACCGTATAATTTTTACCTGTTAAAAAGCAGACTTTGCAATTTATTAAAAAAATTCTCCTAAGGTTTATTCATTTTTGAGAGACAGAGGGAGACACAGTGTGAGTGGGGGAGAGACAGGGAGACACAGAATCCAAAGCAGGCTCCAGGCTCTGAGCTGTCAGCACAGAGCCCTACGTGGGGCTCGAACCCACGAACCGTGAGATCATGACCATCAGTGGACTGCTGATGAAGTGAAGTTGGCTGCTCAACCAACGGAGCCACCCAGGTACCCCACAGACTTTGCAACTGAATACTGAGGAATTGCAGGGACGTGTAGTTACTATTTCTAAGTGCCAGGGGTCCACTGAAGCGGGGAATCTAAGGGTTAGAGGAGAGAGCCATGCTGAAGATGGGTCTACCACAGTGCTTCGCAAACATCTGCCCTTTGGAGCCCTTTATGCTCTTCTAACTTTTGAGCATCTCAGTGAGCTCTTGTGTATGTGAGTTCTAGCTATTGGGATTTACTGTCTTAGATATTAAAATGTAGAAATACCTAAAACATACACTTTACATTTGCTTAAAAATAACAACACTGACAAACCCCTGATATGTTCATATCAATAACATCTTTAATATATGTCCAAAAACAAAAACAAAAAATAGAAGAGCGCTATTGTTCTGCATCTTTGAAGCCTTTTTAATGCAGGGCCTGGGCGTCAGCCGGCCGCTCCTATCTGCTTCTGTATTCATTCTGTTGCCAAACTCTGCTTCGGTTGAAGTTTGGGAAGAAAACCTGTCCTCACATTTGATGCATTTCATTACTCATTAATAATTCCACCGGCCTCAAAACCAAATGTCTAAGTGCTGGGAAGCTCTCAGGCTCACGGGGGTGATCACAAGATTTCCAAAAATTTAATTTCTGTGCTGTCAGAGGTTTTCCTTCAGGCTCATTTTGTTCATTTTTGAGGGTTTGGCAGTTGTTTGCTCAATTAAGAATAATGTTTTGTGAAAAGTGGCTGGTGTGGCTGAAAGCAGACAACCCCACGGGTGTGGGCTGAGACAGCAAGCCCACTTCGGCGTGGGGCCAACGGCATTCAGTACACTCCTGATTTCATCACACAGAATATTAAAAAGCTGTGAGGGGTGCCTGGGGGACTCAGTTGGTTAAGCGTCCAACTTCGCCTCAGGTCATGATCTCACGGTTCATGGGTTCGAGCCCCGCATCAGGCTCTGTGCTGACAGCTAGCTCAGAGCCTGGAGCTGCTTCAGATTCTGTGTCTCCCTCTCTCTCTCTGACCCTCCCCTGCTCACACTGTGTGTGTGTGTCTCTCTCTCAGAAATAAAAAAATTAAAAAAAATTAAAAAGCTGTGTAGTCAAGGGTCAAGTCTTTTTAAAAAATATTTATTCATTTATTTTTGAGAGAAAGAGGGTGTGAGTGGGGGAGGGACAGAGAAAGAGGGAGACACAGAATCCAAAGCAGGCTCCAGGCTCCGAGCTGTCAGCACAGAGCCCAACCCGGGGCTCAAACCCATGAACTATAAGATCATGACCTGAGCTGAAGTTGGACACTTAACTAACTGAGCCATCCAGGTGTCCCAAGGGTCAAGTTTTCTTAATACAATTTTTTTTTTTTTTTTACTGTGTCCTCAAAGATACTGTTTAATGAAACTTTTCTTGAAAGGCAGATGCATGGTGCTGAGGGCCACGCTGACTTTGACTTGGGGCTGCTGCTTGGTTCGTGCTTAGGAGCCAACATCCCCTGCTGCTGTTGCCACATTGTTTCCATAGGATGCTCTTAAAACCTTTAGAAACAGTCACATCGTTGTCTGCACAAAACATCTCAGGTCTCTTGAATCCTTGCTTTGGGCTCATTTAATTGGAATGTGACTCAGCTCCTTAGCTTTGCTATGAAAGGAACTGAACACAGTGGAGCATATGTAGCCAAGTGAGGGGGCAGGGGCAGGGTGATGGTAGGGGATCACACGCTAAGTGTGCCATTCTGTCAATGGAGCCACCATCGTCGTAGCTACCTTGGTGGACTCATGCACTCATTTACCCACCCATCTATCCATCCATCCATCCATCAACCATCCATCCACCATCCATCAACCATCCATCCATCCATCCATCCACCCATCCATCCATCCACCCATCCACTCATCCATCATCCATCATCCATCCATCTGTCCATCCATCCATCCATCCACGCACTCACCCATCCATCCATCATCCATCCACCCATCCCTCCACCCACTCACCTGTCCACCCATCCATCCATTGATCATCCACCCATCCACTCATCCATCCATCCATCCACCATCCATCCACCCATCCACTCATCCATCATCTATCCATCAATCCACCCATCTGTCCATCCATCCATCCATTGATTATCCATCCATCCACCCATCCATCCATCCATCCACCATCCATCCACCCATCCACTCATCCATCATCTATCCATCAATCCACCCATCTGTCCATCCATCCATCCATCCACGCACTCACCCATCTATCCATCATCCATCCACCCACCCCTCCACCCACTCACCTGTCCATCCATCCATCCATCGATCATCCATCCATCCAACCATCTACTCATCCATCCATCCAACCATCCATCCATCCATCCAATCTATCCAACCATCCATGTATTCATATAGTCAATCAACAAACACCTGCTTAGTATGAATGAGATTCTGGATGTAGTGTTGGGAGACAGTGATCTGAAGATTAAAATGTCAGCGATTGCCCTGAGGCTCTCACCTTCCACAATCACATGCCTGATGCATTTGTTTGACCTCAGACACTGCTTGTTCACAAGACTCAAATCTCAAATCCTATTAAACTGCCTGACCACCAGTCTGTCTTGTTCTGTGCCTCACTTGGCCTTGACAGGTTAAAAAGTATGATTACATTTGGACTAAAAGCTTGAGCACTCTCTCTTCTGTGTACCCACCCACCCATCCCCCCGATGGCCACCTTTACATGCAGCTCCATTGTCTAATTTTATTTCCACGCTTTAAAGCTTGTGTGTTTTGAAGGATGCAGAACAAACCTAGAAACTTACATAAACTAAAAACATAAAGGATTTACATGTGCCATTTCTAAAATAGAATTCATAATTATGTTACACATCAGTTGTCACAGTAAGATTTAATAATGCACGCATTAGAGTTTTCATAATACTTTCTTGCAAAAATAGGATCAAATATGTCTATTTTTAACAGATAAAAGGACATACTTAGTTTCTTTAAGTCACATTAGCTTAAGTAATTAACCATAAACTGAAATTGGATGTCTTGACCTTAAAAACTGCAAAACTGCAAAAACTGTTGCAGGGCACACATTTAAAAGATATATTTTAAAATTCTTACCTAGATACGACAATGTAGCCTGATAGCCTTGGCTCACCCCTCCGTGCACACACACGTGTGCACACACATGCATCATACATGTGCACTTGCACGTGCACACACACACACTTTCCTGTGCTCACACCACCTCCATGTTCCTCCTCCCTCATAAGGAGTCCTCTGACGCCATAGGCGTTGTCTCCCAGCCTTTGGATATTACAAGTGCGTCCCGGGTTTGCACAGACCGGGAGTCTCTCTGTAGCCCTGTCCCGTGTGTCCTGTGACTCAGTCACTTAGGGAATGATGACAGGTTTTGAATTTTACTTTGTTTCCTCGGCTGGTGGGTTTCACCCTCACATTTTCAGCTGTGGGGCCATGGCCTCCTCTCTCCTGACTCAGGGTGCTTAGAGCCAGGGTACACTTGATCTTTCCTGCTGCTCATCATAAGGAAGCTGTAAGGTGACGAGTGTTTTGTCACACTGTGAGGTGTGAAGACTGCAGGGGACTGTTGGCTTAGACTTGGGGACGACTAAAGAGAATATGATTTTGGCTCCCACTGTGCTCCTGGCAGAAACAGCTGGGGGCTGACAGCATCGGCTGCAGGTGACAGCCACCTGGGGACTTCCGGGGGAGTAACTGAAGACCTACACTGACATGGCGTCAGGAGAGATTACAGGTAGAAATGACATGTATGGTTTCTGGCAGACTCTGCTCCCCCCATGGGCACCTCCTTTCTGTCCTCACCTTCTCCGCAGTCCCACGATCACAAGGAGCACTGCTGTCCTCTCACTTGGGTACAGATGTGGTATATGGTCACCATCCATGGTGCCCAAAGACCCCTGGTGCCTATCCAGGCCCCCTGTCCGGAAAACCTGCCACTGTATTTAGTGACACATGGTGTGAACATCGGTATCATTCAAGATGCCGGAATTGCAAGGTGATGGGTTCTTGGCCTGGAAATTTCTCCTACCCGCCCCTCCCCAGGACTTTGCTACTCATTGCCTGGATGTGTCCCGGGGAGGGGAGTGGAGGCCCCCACTATGCAGAGACAGCTGGTCCCCTCTCTGACTGGTAGAAGGGACCAGCACTCCCCAGATGGACCAGCCTGGTCCTATCCACCAGGACCTCAGAACGTGGCCTCATTTGGAAATGGGGCCATTGGAGAGAGCATTAGTTGAGA